CTGATTTCGATTCTCCAGAATATTCTCTCTCATGCGTAATGTGGGCCATAATGCTTATTCCATTCGTTTCGTTGTCCTTCAAACGTTGCTTAAATCGTTTTATGATTTGGATGGATGCTAGGGATCTGTTGTTCAATTCAATAAATTGTCGTCTATGCATCTATGTCACTTAACCTGGAGATTCCTCATATTACCGTGCTCTTTTTATAACAACAGCTGTTCTGATGAAAGTATACTATTAGATCTACATTCCATACAACTATCGAGTAGATATAACCGATGAAGGCTAATGACCTGCTTGGCGAAACGTTCTACGATGGTCGAAATTAATAAAGAGATGCACAGCAAGCACCCACAACATGAGTTCTGAAGAAATATTTTTAAAATCACTAGTCACTTTTATTTTTAGGATCGCTCTTTATTTCCATAAATATCCTCACTTTCTGATGGGCCCGTGTGACGCAATGGTCGGAGGTGCCCTGCAACACACACATGGGATCGATCCTCGCACCCTTGCCCCAAAAAGCTCTCCATCTTCCGGGCTCGGCAAATTGGTACCAGACCTATCTGGGAGTATAGCGGCATTGGCTCTATACATCAGTAGGCTGTCGTGAGTCCTTGTAAGAACCAGATACGCATTCATTCACTTCCAAACAATGCTTAATCGAAGGCGTGTCGCATTGCTGAGGGATTGGTCAACGCCGAGAGCTTCATCCTTTTTTCTTCTTCATTAATCCCCGCTTTCTAATCAACCACCATTTCCAGAGTATCAAAAATTCATCGAGATCGCCTAACCATTTGCAGTATTTATCTATATGATTACATAGATTCATCAGTGAAGGATTCTCAACATTTTGATTGGAGTTTGGGCACGTTTATTTGCACAAAATTCTGGTAAAAACGGACTGTATGATTAATTTCTTTCTGAGTGTTTTTTTATCATACAAACTTTTTCAGTCATACCTTTCAAATGTCGTGCTAAGCGTCATTGAATGAGAACTATTTCCTACGCATCACAATTTACAAGAAGTAGCCTTTGAACTCATACACATTTAACCATAATGGTGTTGAGATATTTGCAAATCTCCGGACCGCTGGTGCTTGCGGTGGGGATCAAATCCGCTATTACCTTGTCTAGAGACTAACGTGTTCACCACCACACCATGCATCTCCTTCCTTTCGGCTTTCTCTTGGCCGTGTTTTGTAGGTGCTATTTTTATTTTTTATAGGTATATTTCCTTTATTTCTACGAGTCCCACAGCATTTCCTTTCTTGCTGTGCAGACAAACCGACGCAAAGGAATTACAGGCAGTTCTCTGAATTAAGCTGATCTCTAGAAGCATTTTACCTATCGCCACGTGTGATTTCTTCCTTTCACATTTAAAAAAGAATTTGACAAATGACAGTGGTAGTCTTTTACTTTTTCAGTGTCACACTGTGTTGTTATAGGCAGACGAAACATCACTTCGTTGTGGAAACTGTATTTGATTAGTCTGAAGACTACGTGATGTCTCAAATGTGGAGAATAAACAATTGAACGTTAGCTAATTGCGACCACAACCTTTTCCTGAGAAGCAGGTGAATTCAAAGAATGGAGGCGTTGTGTACGCCATTTTGGCCAAAAGCCGGTAATCAAGTGGTTGGAAAGCAAATGGGAGGTAGGTAGGAGTAACGTTCAGCACGTGACCTTTGTGTTTACTTTGCAAATCCCTGTGGGTGCAGCCATTTTTACGCCAGTCACTAGAAATTTCTCCTCACTAACAGTTAATAAGAGATCTCTTTCTCTTAAGGACAAAAGTGCTCACGAAGTGATAGTGTTCCACTGAACGAGCACAAAGGAGACGCTGTCTAAATCTTATCACTATTGCCGATTGGCCAAATCTGTGTTGACAATTCGTGTCTTTAACGGATACACACAAGCATCTGGGTCCTTCACTGAAGAGTTCATGCTGCAATCTAAAGAGGATATTTATGACGTCATCGGACAGGCTTGAGAGAAGACAGCGCACATGAAATTTCGTTTTAAAATAAAAAAAACTGTTAATCGAAACAAACGATAGTGAAGTTGGCAGCATTGTGCTCGTCAACATGACGGGCAGGGACCAAAATTACCCATTCGAACTACTAACTCCTGCCCGAGTCGTTCGTTTATGAATGAACATATACGGACAAATACAGACATTAAAAACGTTCGCCATCTTAACTCCAATATCAAGCTAGTATGATGAATAGGAGGGCTTAGAGACTACACAGTGCAAAGAACATATGCTCCATAAAGTTATTGTCGGTGGCATCAACATTCATTTGTCCCTAGGGAACATAAGAGACATAACTTCAGGAGTATAAATTAGGGTGAGGTTTCTCTTTATGAATGAAGGCATTCTTAATAACTCACAACCCCTCCTCTCAACCCTAGATGTGGGAGTCTCCAAGTGAAGATTACATTCTCTCTGAAACCATGGGAAGAATCGATTCTCACTGGAATCCTAGGATAGCTGTTCTAGAGTGCTACTAGGTCTTGTGGCTCCTAGGGAACTTTTCACCTTACTGTGATACTAATTCCCCGACCCTGGAAGGATAGGAGGCTTGGCTGCCGTAAGACAGTGTCGAACAGGGGCCTTGTACTTATCAGGACGTTCTATTCCATTAACACCACAGTGCACTCGATTACCTTGTAAAATATATGGTGTATAGATCCCAGGATCAACATTCTATTAACCTCGGCACTGGATTATAAATTCATCGTTTTCTGTCTCAGCAATCGCGAAGCTGTCAAACAGCATATGTTTACTTCCATGAAATAACACACATGCAACACAATTGTTGCTGACGTTTCGGCAGCATCGTCTTCTTCAGAGCCGTTTTTATGTGTCTTCCACTGAGGAAGAGCCGCTGATCAGCGTCGCATATGGTTGACGACTGCCTCATGATTGCTGAGGCAGAAAACGACGAATATGATAGACCTTTGCAATTTTATTTAGCATGTCTGTCTAATGGTTTTCTATTCGTTTATATTAAATGCAGGCAACGAGAATCCAACAGTCAGCGTCTAACTCTAGTGTCAGTTGTTCCAAGGAGTCCGGCGTTCATGCCGAAGCTCGTGGTAATGAACGTGCTAACTGCAGTGACCCCTTGATAGTCGCGTGTTCCGGTGAGAAGTTCTTTTGCGGAATCATGAAATGGCGTTTAATGGGCGTCGTCATCTCGTTTGACCTGAGGAGGTTCGATTACTTGAAAGTTAGACTTTTAACTAGCTCCATTGGGTTTCTGGTAGAGGATTCAGATTCTAGTCTTCATGGATTGTACGTGATGATTATCGCTGAAACCAAATCCGGTTTGAGCAGCATAGAATGGCCCTGAGACTTCAGCAGCATCTCAGTATTTCTGCTGCCCTGAGGTGTCAGCAACCCGATCGTGGTCTTGGGAACGAAAACCTTGTTATTACTAGTTTTTGCTTTCAAGAAATGTCCAGTGGAAGCCTTCCGAATTGTGCCGCTACACTGATTTTCCAGTGTGGAAGTGGAAGTTGTTTGTTGCAGACAGCCGACTTCAAATCACCTCCCATGCACTCCACAACCATTCAATTGCCAACGTGACCGAATCGACGCGTACACAATCGACAAGTACAAATGGACAGCAACCCACGCATTTTGCTTTCATTTATGAGGTATAAGTGTGATGTCACTTTGCTACGCTTCTAACACGCTAACCGCCAAATGCCCAAGCTCCACGTACCTTTCCGAGTAAGTGGATCGCAGAAAAATAATCGAAATTGGATTTTAACATTTCAGTAGTGTTTCCATATATGTATGCGTACAAGTATGCAAATGTAAGGTTATGGATAGAAGAACAAAACTGCAGTGGACTCAGTCTCTCTCGGAGCAAAGCGCTGCCGAATTCATTTTCTAAGGTAGATGACCTCACAACTGAAACCGTATTTAAACAAATTATATTTAACTTGACAAGGTCTTAACTTTTTGCTCACTGCACGTCTTTTTTCATTACAGGTTATCATGTGAAATACAGCCGCAGGTGTGCTGAGAAAAGAGCAAGATTTAGAGCTTCAACTGGACTTCGACCCCTTACTTCGCGTTCTTCTTAGCTACTTTTACTCCAACGGTGCCATCAGCGATCACTCGTAAACGATAATGATCTGGGAAGCACAAATCGGCAATGAAACCAGTTAAGCTAAAGTTGCAGTCGGAATCACAATATCATAATTTCTTATTTAATGCCTCATCTTTTTTCATGGCAGGTTGCAATGTGAAATGCCGCCGTAACGGTGCTGAAGTAACCATTCCAGTTGACAGGTGCACTGACAGAGTAAAAAAGCGGCCGAGAAAAAGGCAAAGTCAGGACCTCGGTTAGGGAGGTGGGTAGCACTGAACCTTCCGGAATTCGATTACTGGTGCTTCCACCTTACACATAAAAGCAACGACAAGCCTTGGTGCTGGTGGCTGCCCCATTGCCAACCCTCTGATTTGTGCGTAATATTTTTTGAAACACTTAAAGATTGAGCAATTTAGACATTCCATTAAGAGTGCTATGACCTACCGATTTAAGAAGTTATACATGTCTATTGGTTGCATGAGGAATTCGAAGATGGCTTGTATGACGGAGTCATTCGACACGTTTGCATAAAGGGCGGTAACGTCGAAGGACTTTATTGTATTCGCGGTCTTAGGACGCACGTTACGGAAACTATTCAGAAACATCTGGATGTTGGCAAGATGGGTTGGAATTTCAACAACTGGCTCTGGGAGAGCTTGGCAAGCTACCAGTGAGTATATCCAGCCCCCACGTTCAGAGCCCAGCAAGCTATATGTGGGTATCAAAAATGCTAAACACACTGAAAAAAAACGGGCCTCATTCCCCTGACCCCGAAAGAACCCCCAATTTCGCAGCGTCGGGCAAGACGAGTACGGAGAAGCTGCTAGAATCTCAGGACCAATGGAAGCTGCCTAGATCACGAAGAAGGAAGGTGACGATCTGTACCTATAATGCACGTCATCCGAGTCCTCGATAGAAGACTTGCTCATGGAAGCAAGAAGAACAAGGTAGGACGTCATCGGCTAGCCGAGACAAGAAGACAACAGCCTTTCAACGTTGTCTATGATACCGGAGAAGAACTGTTCCTCGGAACATGCGACGGTAGAGTCGGCGGCGTCGGCGTTCTAGTCAACACGAGTTTGTCCATGAGCATCGATTCATTCGAACAGCTTACAACCCGAATCGGACGTTTACGATTAAAAAGATGTGGATCAATACCGGCTTTGACAGACTTCGTCGTTTACACGCCGACATCAAACAATGACGAAGAAGAAGTCGAAGCGTTCAACATGGACTTCTAGAAGTTCCACAGAGAAGACCATACATTCTTCAAGGTGATCATTAGGGATTTCAACGCCAAGATTGGACCAAGAAGAACGTCACATTGGGACCCACGGATTAGAATGGAACGAACAGGGTGAGCGGTTGTCTGAGTTTATCATGGCGACCAAGACAATCCATGGTAACTCGCAATTCCAGAAGCCCCACCCTCAACGCTGGACGTTTGACTCTCCCAATGGAGAGTACTATAACGATATAGACCACATCATAGTAAATAGAAGGTTTTGCCTAACCGTTGTCGCTGTTGTCCTAAAATTCGAAACGCGATCAGACCATCGTCTCCTCCATGCAAGATTCTATTTCTCGCGGAAAGGAGAAAAGCCGCTAAATTCCAAAACCGAAGTTCCAGAACCACCGTACACTGGGATTTATTCAATCCATTAGTCGGCTGCTGGGAAGATGCCGTTGTCGATAACATCGACGAAGAATACGATCGGCTTATTCAACATTTTCACGTTAGCGCTATGAAAGTTGAGAGTTCGAAAGTCACCAAGAGACGTCTGTCTCGAGAAACACTCGAGCTGAGATGCCAGCGTGGAATCGCACGAGCAGCAGGCAACCACGAAATAACGTCCGAGCTTGGAAAACAATGCAGATAAGCCATAAAAGAAGATCTTAGAGAGAGAAGAGCAGCAGTAATGGCCGAAGCTGCAGAGGCTGGGTTCGGAAATCCGACATGCCATTTCGTCGGTGAAAAATCGAACATCACCAAGTCCAGACAGGATTAGACCAGAACACCTGAGGAACCTTCCGCCAGTCCTCGTAAACACACTGGCTCGGCTCTTCACACGTTACCTGTCTGAATGCAAGGTCCCTACTCAGTGGAAGACCAGGTAGACCGCGTTATTGATCAAGAAGGGTGACCTGCACGATGTCGGCAACTATCGCCCAATCTGCTTACTGTCTGTCGTCTACAAACTTTTCACTCGAGTCATCCTAAACAGGATTGACAGAACACTAGGCAAAGAACAGCCGTGTGGGCAAGCAGGGTTTCGAAAACGATTTAGTACGATGGACCACATTCACACGGTAACACGACTCATTCGCGAGAGTATCGCGAGAGTACAAAAGACCGCTCTGTCTCACTTTCATCGATTTACAGAAGGCATTGATTCAGCTGAGGTAGAAGCAAACTTGGAAGCCCTTGATAGTCAAGTAGTCCCTACTCAGTACATGAGGACACTTCGTGAGCTGTACAAAAATTTCACACCCGAGATATCACCATTCTACAACGATATTAACATTGACGTTAAAAGAGGAGAACGCTAGAGGTGGAGTTACGTAAGGCGATACCATCCCGCCAGAATTATTTACGGCCATCCTCCAGAAAGTCATGCGAACATTGGAATGGGATGATATGGGTGTGTAAATCGATGCTCGGCAGTTATACCAACTTCGCTTTGCTGATGACATCGTCCTTATAACACCAAACATTAGCCAAGTGGAACGTATGCTTAACGACTTTGATAAAGCCTGTGGAATGATTGGTCTTCGACTAATTCTCACAAAAACGATGCTCACGAAGAACGGATTGGTTTCGCATGCCCCATTCACGCTCAACGGAACGAATATCTCCGAATGTTCCAGTTATATCTATTTAGGTCGGGAAATCAATATGATGAACGACCTAGCTCCAGAGCTGAGCAGAAGAAAACAAGCGGCTTGCGGAGCTTTCAACAGCATCGAGGATATAGTGAAGAGAACAAGGAACACCCGGCTCCGTGCCCACCTTTTCCACTCAACGGTACTTCCTGCCCTAATGTATGCGTCAGAAACCTGGTCGCTGAGTAAACAGGATGAAAGATCACTCAGCGTTATTGAACGCGCAGTCAAAAGGACGATGCTAGGAGTATTCTATTTCACATAACTGAAGGAAGGGATCCGAAACTCCAACCTGATTCAGGGATCAAAAATCGAAGATGCCATTCAATACACCAAACTGTCAAAGATAAGGTGAGGCGGACACATTTGCGTATGAACGTACGTATCCCTAGAGAGTTGATCAACGCCGAAAGCGTCATCTTTTATCCTTTATGCTCAGGCACATACATTGTTAGAACAAGGTGACCGAATGAAACTCTCTTATCCATCTCAAGCAAATCCTCAATAATAATAGATCCTTGGTACTGCGAGGTTGGTTAGTTGACTGCAACTAAAACCTGAGCAGCGTATACATCCCGCAAAGAGTTCCCTAACATCGTACCACACTTTGCAACATCGAAGAACTAGGAACTCATTTTTTAAGGCTTTTGAGAACTCCTTGATTTCGTCCACGATGCGATTCAAAAACAAACTCACATCTATGAACCTTTAGCTTAAGAGGAAACTAGAGAGCTTCGAATAAAAGGGGTATCAATGGAAGAGAGATCGAATCACTTGCACACCACAAATTCTATGTGCCACTTAATTAAGCAAAACGATAAAAAGTCCGATCTTTAATAGTACGGAATTCACAAAACGCAAAACATGAGTGATAAGGAAAAAGAAACGGCAACAATTAACTGCATAAATAAATTATGGACAGAATAACACAAACAACAGTAACATAGTTTCAGACCATGTGCTATTTAACTATTATTACACAATTTCAACGAATTCGAAAACAAATACGGAAGTTGTCGGTCACAAAGTATCAGGATCGTAAGGCAACAAACTGCTGGAATATCTCTAAAACATTTGGGTCAATATCGGAACTGGAGAACAACTCTCGACGAAGATCTTCGGTGAACTCATGCAAGTCGGCACCGTGCTGTAAAAAAAACCTCTCGAAGAATTTAATGAGAGAAAACGCACATGTATAACCCTGATCTATATCACAATACCAAATTAACATTTAAAAAATTGCTTACTAGTTACTCGATCATAGATGTACACGCATAAAACATCTGATTAGAACATATCTAACCGGTTGACTGCAATTTGAATAATTTCGCTTTCACCAAAAAACTTTTGCAGTTTCACCTTAATCACATTCTAATTGTTAACAGTTACTATGCTCAAATACAGCATTGCTGTTTCTTTATCCTAATCAAAGGCAATAGTCTCTCCCGGCGAAATGAAATCGTATCAAAACAGTCTTAGTAATTACTACGTGCAGAGAATAACATTGCTAGTCTGAAAGTCAGCACAATGGTCTGTGGTCTGTGTGAGATGCGCTGATGACTGAATTGATATTTACGTCGTTATTTTGAACGGGCGCGTGTGGCGCAGTGGTAGGAGGCACACACACGTGTAATCAATCCCCCTGCCCCAGGCTCACCAAGCTCTCCATCCCTCCGGGTTAGGCCAATTGGTACCAGACTTGTGTGGGAGAGTAGCCTGGCTCGATACATCGGTAGGCCACCTCGAGTCATTGTAAAGGCCAGATATCCATCCAATCACCTCCAACGATATTTAATGAGGTCGAATGCATGGCGCAACCTTCAGGGAATGATCAACACCGAGAGCCTTTAAGAGCTTTTTACTTTGAATGACCTTTATTCACGAGTAGTGAGAGCTCCAGTACATCCTCGCTTCCTGCCTTTCTCGCGCTATCATCATTCACGGTGGAGGTTCACTTCAACCATAGTGATGTCTGCGAGTCTTATTCTTATATCGAACAGAATAATAAACAAGTACGGCGCTACTAACCGCGGTGTTTTATTCAACTACGTTGTACTATGACGTGAACAATTTATTGGCGTTAGCTTTTCAATAACAAAGGTTCTATACCTAACTTTAAGCATCACTGCTAAAACTGTGTGAGCGCAAATTGACTAGGTATTTCGAAAAATACTGGTTATAAAAAATAGAAGAGTGCAACTACAAAGCTCTCTCTCGGAAACGAATTAAAGCTATCGACTATCAATTTTTACTACCCACTACACCTGCTGTTTGTAATCTACAAACTGTTCTATGTTTTCATCATAGATAATGGAATCAACTATGCTTGCATTACTTTTCATCTACACAACATATTAACCAAATACTACGAACAACAAAGTCGAAAAACTGAACCCACCATAAGAAATATTTGCTTGAACCGTCCTTTGATCCAAAAAAAATAGGGTGTGCGAAAATTCTTTCCTTCTGTTTCACAATGAAAAATATATTCCGTGAGTAACACTGTAAACTTCTGAAAACACAAATAAAACATCGAAGGCACAAACGGACTATTATATCAAACGGATATATAGCACAACAACCATTTCTTACATGCAAAACGTCGAGAAAAAGAGACTTCTGGAAGTCTTTCAGATTTTCGAGCTTTTCCTTCTGCTGTTCCAATTCCTCTTGCTCTCGAGTTTTCACATCCATGTCGTCCATCTACAACATCTTCATTGGAAGACTATTATACCGCTAAAAATACCGCATAAATGTTAGACAATTTAAGAGCAAACCTCATCGTCGCCACCAATTCGTTGATGTTTAACTCTTTTTTGCAAAATTTGCACATCGTGAGCGACCTTATGGATATGGCGTGAAAGACGCTCCAATGCCGTATTCAGCACCTCCCATTTCCACTGCCTTAGAATGAGCAAACATTTTCAAATGAGAAATGAACAAGGAGGATTCAAGTACAGTTTAGTTCTGCCTCTCCATTTGGTTCAAAAAATTCCCACTTGTGTGTTTCGCTTCGAAGACTTCCACTGAAAATCCATGAAATTACAACACCACAGTCCAAAATTTGCATCTTGAGCATCTTGTCCACCAGTATGATGAGACGCTAAAACATTAAAAAATTATGCAGCAATATAACTGTGAAGATACATAGCACTATTATCTAACAAGTTTCCATAATCTTCACCAGGTGATTGTTTCGCCAACAATGGAAAAGGGTTTGCAAGAGAACTTCCTGCATTTCATCGGAACTATCGGCGACTGTTTTCAGTGTCAAACTATACCTACAATAAATCATTAGCATTAATTGATGGAATGTAACGTAATAAATCTATTTCAAAGAGAATAACAGAATAAAAGGATAAAGCTCTCTGCTTTGATCATCTTTAGGGATGCGCCATGCACTTGACTTCATTACGCATCGTTTGGAGTTGATTGGATGCATATCTGGCCTTTACATGACTCGCGGTGGCCTAGCGATGTATCGAGCCAGTGACGCTATCCTCCCTGAGAAGTCTGGTATCAACTGCCAATTCCGGAATCATGGATGGCCTGATGAGCCTGAGGCACAGGGATCGATTCCATGTGTATCGCAAGGCGCCTTCGACCGCTGCGTCACGCGCGCCGGTTGAGGGGAACAATGTACATGGGTGCACATATAAATATATACGAGAATTATGCACTGATAAACAGAGAAAAGAAGTCACCTGGTCAACGCAACAAAAGTATGACTGAACGACTTTGCAGTGGTTTTCATTAACATCTGAAGCATTTAAGAAATTACCAAGCGTAAATATTTTGGTAACAACTTTCATCAACACACCGAAAAGAATATCTGGAATATCTCTGGGTCGTACTGACTATTTGCATCACGAATTTCAGCAATAACTGTATTGTCATCAGCCCGATTTTGAATAAAACTAACAAATTTGGAGGCAAGTTCGTAACCAGGCATAGTTTCTGTAATTACCAATATCTGGAATAACGAGAACCTGGAGAAGAACTGGAGATCTCACCGTCGTCATACTTGCAAATAACATCAGGTGGTGGTGGAATCATGGGAGCAAATGATTTCGGTAGGAAATCTTTCAGATGTGCATAATACGAAAGCCGACGGCACTTTTCAATAACCTCACCAACAAAAATCTTTTTCACATCCCATCGATCAGCCTCAAAAAGAAGGCAAAGCCAGAGATTTAACGTCGGACTTGATAAGAATCATAACGAATCACTAAAATTATTTTACAGTAAGACAATCTTTCCAGTCGTTCCACGACCAACGGAAACCAAAATTAGATAAATGGAAACTGAACCAGTCGACAAATCTAGAACAATTCATCAGATATAACGTGAAATAATAACTGGAAGATGTTTAACTAATTGCAGCAAACCTATCCAGACATAATGGTTGCATAGTGGTAGCTCGTTGATAAAGCAGTTCGGCAGCTTGCGCCAGTACCTGAGGCATTGTTGACGATTGCACCCTACATAAATCCAACAGGAGAGGACCTAGAAAGATTGCCGTAGCCCCAATATAGAATAAACAAACGACTGAGTCCAAGAGATTATGCGGTCACGAGTGATAAGTTGATTTGCTACACCAAATAGGCTTCTATGTGAATGGAAAAACTTTTAGCTACAAGTTCTCGAGAAAGTAAAGACTCAGTCGAAAGTAGATGATAAACGACCAATCGCTAGTAGCTCACCATAAAATCCTGTGTGTTGTGGAGGATATGGAAGACGAAAAAGTTGTGAAAACAACACTTCCAAGATCATATAAGCGATAGGAACATTTGCACCGCGTGAGTAAGCAGTCAATTCCTCAGCACTGAAGAAGCGGCAGTTTTACAGAAAAAAAATGAAGTCGTGCCCATTACCATATGCTAATAGAGATACATGAAAATATAACTCAATCACGATGAGAAAGAGAAACTAACTTCTCATCTACTGTAATTGAGCCGTGCTATTTGGATCGACCAACGAATAAAAATTCAAAGACTAAGAAACAAGAAGTGGAGTAGAAAGAGAAAGAATACTAGGGAAGAAAAAAACAGAAAAAATAAATAGGAATAAAGGAAAGACCTACTGTTACTACAATATAACACTGGTAATGAAATTGGATTTCCGATTGGTAGCGTTACAGCTTCAATCAACTAATAATTGTTATGCAAATAAGAAAAGAAATCGTCACCTCCCAAAAGTCGGTGCGAACACCAAATGGCGCGCAACACATGAAGGATGAAGCATTAAGCTCTCGGCGTTGATCAATCCCTTAGGGAAGCCCCTTGCATTCGACTTCATCACGCATCGTTGGAGGTAACTGAATGCATATCTGGCCTACCGATGTATCGAGCCAGTGCTGCTATCCTCCCAGGCAAGCGCGGAAATTGATCCCTCGTGTACTACACGGCGCCCTCGACGACTGCGCCACACGCGCCAACAGATATTTCCGATAACAAGCGCTTGATTAAGAGTTGAATATCGCTAGAAAGTTACTATTCCGCCACTGATCACAAAAAGGCGATTCTTCCCAATTCACATTGGGACAATTGTAAATGACGACGATCTCGAAGCAATTTAATTTACTCCGAACTTAAGCATCTCAGACGACTGAAACTATGACCATGTTGCCGGGTGAAATTAGCGATGTCCTGGTTAATTTGGAACTTTTTATTAAACCGTCAAACTAACGGTTCTACTATCTATGTTGTGAACCTTGTACATGAACTGCCATATCGGTCGTTGATGCTCGCAAATCCTTAAGTCGAAGTCATATATTAAGCTAGCATCTCTCAAGTTTGAAGGCACTGAAAGAATGAGTGGAAGACATAGTGGGATGGCACGTACAAGAAGTACGTCTGTAATACTAAGTATCACAGAATAACGGTTTAAAACGAAATAAAGTAGAGGGCAGGTAAACAAAGGTTAGCAAAACTAAGTCATTGTGGATCAAGTTCTTCAGGGTGATAAGCTCCCTTTTCTGGAACCATCAATAACTTCGTCAGGGTGACCGTCTAATGCACCTAAACCTTTTGTACTGCCAAGAAAGAGATAGGAAATAACAGATGTGATGCACGAATGAATAACAAGGCTTCATTAAATTAAAAAGAAGGTGTAAGATGTAAATGTTGTAACAAGACAGTGAAATCATAGAGTTGAAGCGCTTCTGGGTTGCTCTAAATATGCAATGTATTGGGAACAAAGCAAGAAAACACAACAGACAGAAGAAATAAAAAACTTACCAAATCTTCCTATCACCGGCATTGAATTCAACTATCCAATTTAACTCTTCCTCTATCAAAAATCGTTCAATGGAGTGAGCTCCTGGTAAAACAGGACCCTAAGAAATAATCACCTATTAAACTGCTCCTGACTCACTAGCAATAAATAAGAAATACTCACATCATCCGGACAGTCCGCGTAATCGAAAAGACGAAAAACAACGGTCGGTAAAGGGTAATTCGATTCCGGTTTGTGATCAGGTGGAGAGAAGCTAATAAATGAACACGTGCACCTCAGAACCGGATTAGATATTTAAAAAAAAACTACCACGGTCAATTACCTCGGTAAGTTATGCTGTAGAGCATCCTGAAGAGCTGCATCAAAAGCAACATAGTGCCTGGCAATTTGCTTTTCTTTCCATCCCACGCTTTGAAGCGATCTTATTTGGGCCAGCAGACATTCTAGGCTGTCTTCTTGCTCGTGGTGCGCACTCGAACTCCACACTTGCAGCATCTTGAAATATTAAACAAAATACAAGGATAGAACAAGCATAGAGCTAAAAAGAGCTCTCGGCGTTGATCGATCCCTGAGGGATGCGCCATGCTTTCGACTTCATTAAGCATCGTTGGAGGTGATTGAATGCATACCTGGCCTTTACAATGACTCGCGGTGGCCTAACGATGTATCGAGCCAGTGACGCTATCCTCCCAGACAGGTTTGGTACCAATTTTATCGACCCCGTAGGGATGGAATGCTTGGTGAGCCTGGTGTGCGGTGACCGATACCAGGTGTATTGCAAGGTGCCTCCGACCACTGCGCTTCACGCGGCTCAAGAAAATATGCATGATGCAAGAACATACCTTTACATGGACCTTCTTCCTTCCCTCAATGTATCTGCCTGCTGCTTCAAGTATATTATCTAGTTCCTCTTTTTTCTTTTCGCTTAGTTCGAGTCCGATCCATGGCAAAACACGCAGGACAACATAAGCAAACCAATCTGTGCGAACCTAGATGCGAATTAGTCTGTCGATAATATCGGAAAAGGGAAGATAAGCATGAGAAGACAACACACTTGCGGAACATTTTCTTCAAAAGCTGATTGTAAGAGAGCCTCAAGGAAATCGACAATAGAGCTTAAGGTTAGAACGCGACTGTTACCGAGATCACAAAGAAAAGCGATCTGAAAAACTTGGACTTATTCCGCCGCAAGTAACGCCGAAACATAGACTAACAATAAACACTGCTTGCTGGAAGTCCTCAGCCTCAAGCTTCTTCTGCAGCTCTGAAGTCAGCTTTTCCACAATCTAAACTTTCTTCTTAAGCAAAGACATCGCCCACTGTTGAATTGTATTCACTCGCCTCTCCACCGAAATTGAAGTTCTTTGCGTTCAAAAGTCCTACCAACGTAGAGTAGATAGTTATTTTATCAGGTAACTGACACACGCTGAAAAACAGGACTCAGGAGGTTCGGCGAGCAAAACACCTAGCAGGCCTTACCAAAACGTAATGGTTTCAATAATTTTCGTTCGATATTTGTCGAGATCTGCCTCTAAGAGCGAACATAAACTCTCTAAGTTGCTTTCCAATGAAGAACCACCGGTCTGAAGATCAGCCATATGACGTACAAAATGCTATCGAACAAAAATACACTCACGTTCTCATCGACTCTTACTATCAGGTTCTGAAGACGATGTTCAACTTCATCGTATTCCGAAGGACCACGACGCTTCTTCAAATCGACCTCGTAATCTAAACGACAAAGAAACGTATGAATTGAATTCAATTCTATGACTTTGAAGGTTTTCCAGTGGAAAGTTAGGACTCGTCGCACTATTTCAGTACTTTAACAAAGTAGTCCTTAAACTAAAGAGAAAAGCAGTAGTTAACGACTGAACAATCTGTTACGGCAAAGGGAAGGGGAAAGATGAAATTCGCTCCTCTCCCACCTACCCCTCGAAATAGACTTTTTATAAAGCTATGGAAACACAATGTTAACTTTTTATTTCCTGCCTATTTCAAATTTTCCAGTCAGGGTACTATGTGCAATACAACTACAACGATGCTGAGATATTTCCAAAACTCCGGACCGCAGGTGTCTGCGGTGAGAAGCGAACGCGCTATTGCCTTTCCAGGGGCTAACGCGTTCACCACCACACCATGCGGGTCTTTCATTTTGTCTGTCTCTCAACTAGCTAGTAGAACAGTGCAACATCGAGTACGAACGCTTTAATATTACAAACCCACCATCATTTAGATGTCTTCTTCGGTTACTCATCGCAACAAATTAGTGGCTCAACGACGGAGGACTAAAAACTAGTTAGAAATAATAACTGACAGAAAGCAACGATTAGAGGATAAATTATTAGATCAGAGTAGATACTTGGTACTGATTTTTTCTAGCAATAATTAGGAACTTGTTCCTTTATGTTAGTTATGAAAAACTCATTCAACACATCACCTCCTAACAATGAGTGGGCCATACGTGTTGTACCTCAGAAGTATTTAAAAATGACACCAACAGCCGAGAACTCGTCCATCAGCACGGGAGCTGCATGCGAGCACGTTGAGAACACGTTCTGGTCCCATGCATTCATTAAAGGGAAGAAAAAGGATAGAGCTGTCGGTGTTGATCAACTTCTGAGGGATGAGCCATACATTCGACTTCATTAAGCATCGTTGGAGGTGAGGGAATGCATATTTGGCTTTTACAGTGACTTGCAGTGACCTACCGATGTTTCGAGTCAGTGCTGCTATTCTCTCAGACAAATCTTGTAGTGCTTTGCCGACCCCGGAGGGATGGAAGACTAGGTTGGCTACGGGTGCAGGAATCGATCCAATGTGTATTGCAGGCGCTTCCTACCACTATGCTACACGCATCCCTGTCCATTAGCAAGAGAAAAACGAGTGGAAGTACGACTCAGCAGGACTTCCAACTTGTTGTGTTTACCAAATCCAATAGCAGGATCCACCACCGTCCAGGTACAGAACCAGTCGCATGGTGGCCGATCTCTCCGTGCTCCACAAGGGTGGCGACCGCCGGTGATAGCACATACCTGGGACAGACTTTAGTCTGCCTTACGTCGGGACTTCAGGGAACTACAATGGCTAAACCGGGAAAACTCCGAGAGAATGGAAATTGTGCTCGTGTCCACACAACCAGTGAGGATGGGCCATCCAAGTAACCATGTTGTACTTACCAAATCCCCACGATATACGATATCAAGTATATCATGAAGATTTCGTACAATAAACACCAACACGTTAGACGTGACCTCTGATGTAAAAGAATGTTCTGCCAATCTAATTTTGTAGAGAAAAAGGTAAGCGCTAGAATAAGTGCAGTCCCCACCTTCTAGGTGAAACTACAGCGGATTTCCACAATCTGTAACACGGATGAAAAGGTTTTGTAAAGCGTACTTGCAAGAAAATTCATTTATCTACTCAAAATATAACTGATATTCTATTACGCCTATAGTGTATCGAAATTTAATAAATGTAACGCATTCACAACAAGATTGTTCAAATTTTTATTCATGTATTTAAAAAGGATCGTGTTCCACGATAATAACACTTCATGGATCGATCTCCCTCTACATAAAGGAATTCGGAAATTTCCGGTGTTGTACCTCCTCCATGGACGCTTACAACCATCTGAAATATAATGATATAAACCTGTTGATCATAAAAATCGATAAGCGTTGACTTTACGACACTATTTAAAACAGTATTTCCTAGCTTTCCAAAAATACGACACCGCCTCTACCTGTCCAGTCACATCCTTTTCAAACCCAGAACCAACTGGGGTTAGTTCTATTACGAAATCTGCCTTGCTGAAGAGTGTGTAGAACGACTTCGTCACCATAGAGAACGATGCCAACAATAACCCATTTGATTCCAACCTAAAAAACCTCCACAGCAATTACTGAGGAAGTCGTAAACGTCATAAACGGGTTTACGGACAAAAATCCTCTTTCAATACAAACCGAGTATAAAGCTTGTGAATCAGACAAACTACGGAACACGGTCGCATTCCAAGCCTCTCCCACGTTGAAACGTCATCAATAATGAGAAGGGATGGCGGCGCATTTGTGTCGAACACCTGAAAATAGAAGAAAAAAAATGAACATGCACTCTTAATGGCAAGAAAAAGACAATACTCTACCCAAATACATTGGCAAAAACGCACGTCAGAATTTGGATAACAGAGAGGTTAATGTAGCAAAGTGGTTAAAGATACCATGCAATACACACTCCATCGATCTCTGGTTGGATCCCGTGCCCAGGACCCATCAGCATTCCCATCTTCCGCGGTCGGTAAATTGCTACCAAAATTCTCTAGGAGGATGAAAACACTGACCTGACACCTTGCACCTTGCCTTCATTGAATCACCTTTATGAAGCTTGGTGAAGTCGAATGCATGGCGCACCCTTACGTTGATCGACGCCAATTTTATCACATCATTTTAAATATTATGCGGTGTACGACGCCCAGTTTCCTCCCGTGAAGCGTATGCAATTCCTACCGTCCGTTCTATTTCCATCGAAAGTGACGACTTTCCTAGTTTTCATCGTACATTTCGATTTTTCTGTCCTTTCCGCATATTATTTCATTAGATCATTGACCTAGAACGAGATTGCTACAAGCGTTACTCAACTAACGTTTCGGCGCGTTCGCCTCCTTCAGATGGTCCGAATACATTGTCCAAAGCTAACTGTTCTCACGATGTTGGTCTTCATGATTGCATTAAGTCGAATCCGCTAGGATAGAGCACCGCTCAAATAAATAGCTTAGAACCTCACTCTGCACTACAATTTCATAAATGATAGTTTCTGATGCATTGCCATCCGTTTTCACCTGTTATCATGGTACCAACTTGTAAAACAACCCCATGTTAGTTAACTAATCCAAAAAAATATTGATTACACAGTTCTCGATCCAATGAAGGTCGGTTTTTAAGTCACTTTAATTCATTTTTATGATTTTTTATGCTACGGGTAACCTCTTTTTTCTTACTTGTACTCTCACGATTTTGGGAAGTTTTTGACTCTCAAACAATGAACACTACTATTCTATACAAGATGATAATTTTTATTTACTACCTATTCTTATTTAATGGCATAATACTATGTGAAATACAACTACAATGATGCTGAGATATGAGCATAACCTGGGACTTAAGGTGTGCTCGAACCGGAGACTAGTCATTGAGAGCTCAGGTGTTATCCACTGCACCAATTGAGACCCATGATGGCTGAGAGAAAGGCAACAAAAGAGCCTCGGTTGGTGCAAAGGACAACATATGAGCCCCCCAGAAAGGGTAATCGCGATTTCGAAGCGCACATAAGGTTCCTAGTTTTGCTCACATTTCAACATCGTTGTGGTTGTATTCTATAGAATACAGAATAGTCCCTACCACCTCTATACACTTTGATTTAGTGACCTAAAACGAAACTACTTTGTAAATTCATCAGTGCAAACAGCGGAGACACTTTGCATGGACTGATAAGTCCTTGCGACATTCGAAAGGCATAACTGGTCTGCGGCGCCGATTTCATGGAGGTGATACATGTTAAATTCGTGGGTATGTAGCATACTTATGGTGAAAAGACAGGTTCTCGACGATTGTTGCCCTGTAATGAATGAGAATGCTTTCGAAGCGCCGTTATATCGAAAATTCCTCTTAGCTCCAATGCCTCGTCGTAGCTCCCGCCTGACTACTCCGTGGCGAATGGTATTGTATCTGGAAGGTCATTTAACGAGGTTAGACACTTCCGACTCATTGACTATTCAGCTGTTTCGCTGTTGAATGATTGTCTCACTATGCTGTTGAAGTACAGTAAGACTGTCAGCACGTTCAGTCACCGATGTCTGCGATATTCGTACGGGATACTGTTTCACTTTCCACGTTCATGATCTATGAAAGTAGTTCTCAGTGGTCGTATTTTCTTCTATATCGTGCTTTTAAAGTGCTCCACAAACTATTGGACTTTCATTCTTGCATTCTTCAGCTTGTATTTTACGAATTCCTGGACTACCAAAAATTCAGATGTGTGTAAAACCTCCAGTGATTGTTGATCCTCACTATAGTGTGGACTGTACCGGTTTTGTTGGACGTTGAACGTGTGTTAGCAATAGCATGCAGTAGGAAGATGCATTGCATTTCTGTTTATTGAAAGATCGCTGTGTTGATTGTTGTTGACGTTGTAACTTTTCCTTTTTGTGTTCTTTGCCGATCTGATAACACCCATATTCTTTCCCCTTTGACCGCTCCTTGGTGGCTTTGGTGATTTCTGCAGATATAGTACAGTGTCAATACATATCCGTTGCAACTTCGGCATGATTCTCCTTTAGTTTGGTATTCAATGGGTGTTGTCTACAGTCATATCACAAATTATGATTTTTCATTCTATCCATTATTTGTTCTCGAGTTTGTACCACGTCACACGGCTTCATAATGCATATTCTTATTTCTCGCAATAGAAGCACAGATTCGGTCCACTCGTTATGGTGTATTTGTTGGCTCGTCCACATATGTGGTAAACTATGTCGTGGTGTTACGTTGTTCCATCTTACGCTGACGTTTCAGCGGTTCCCACTTTTCAGAGCCTGGAAGAATCAAATTGACATGCAATCCACTCAGTCAAACATCATCATAACCTCAGCAGGCAAAACTTAATATATAAATGTTTATTCGCAGCCTCTTCTAAGCACTGAACGTTTTTTTGTTCTTAAGTCCACATCAGTCACTATTGGAGACCAGCCGCGCACTCCTGCATAGGTGAGAAACGTGCGTGGCCCCGACAAAAAATCCATCTGAAATATGGCGCGCGATCACACGTGGACGTATATCACGTGATCACACGGCATTTCTCTTTGCGGTTCACTTTTGTATTTTTAGAGTTTTTCCAAAACACTTCAAGACTTTCACGCGTTAGATTCCTGTGAAAGCATTGCGGCTTTTACTTCAAAATTTCCGTTATGTCGACAGCTCCTCTCCTCGCCTATTGGAGTACTTTGTTTAACTCTATGCTTGCCGCCTAGATACTCTTTTGTATGAAGGCAGAGCGGTCTACCCGTTTCGCCAATGTATTCGTTCCCGCACGCTTTACAACAGATCAAATAAACTATACACGAAGCTATGCAACCGCCATCTCTACCGTTAGGACAAATTATGCAATTTTTGTTGTGCATAGATGGTCATACAGGCAGTTACGAACCAGCTGGCGTCTGGGAATGCACGGTCGTTCAATCACTGCTACCGACTTCTTTGAACCGTCCCTTTTTAAGCAACGTTTTATGGCTGTGCTTATTTGGTTCGAAATAAAGGGTAGCAAACGGGATCCTATTCTCGCTAAACTTATCATTTTGAGCGGTATTTGTTCCTGTAAACCTATCCCGAGTAACTATTGCTTCTTAGTCATTGAAAACAGTTATTTTTCTTGCAAAGTCCAGGGATTCCTCTTTCTGCTCTCTTCCCGTACACAGACCGGCCACTGTATGAAATATGCCTCTCACAAGTGCATTAGTGTGTGAAGGGTGAGAATAAATGTAGTAACCAGTATATTTTTGCTAATTGGCTTTCGCTACCATTTGGTGGTGTAGCCATTTGTGGATAGGTTGACTTGAACATTCAGAAACTTAAGTCAGTCTTTCTTCAGTTTCTTGAGTAACATATCTGTACTCTTACTAGTTGTTTAGTAATTGAGAACATTTGTCGATCTCCTCCTGTGTTGAGCAGATGAGAAAACAGCCGCAGTATATATACTTACAGTGTAGTAGTGGCAAGAGACCGAGTACAGGCGCTTCAACTTTAAACATGAACGCATTGGCAAGGCTTTGTGCTAGTCGCTGTGCCATTGCCAACTCTGTTATTTGTGCATAATATTTTCCAGACCATCCGAAGACCGAGCAGCTTAGTCGCTCCCTTAAGAGGACCATGAGGTGGTGAATCGAGTTGTGCATGTTTGCTACTCCTTCTTGTCGCACAAGAAGCTCGCGGATGGCTTGCATTGCGGAGTGATTCGACACGGATAAAGGGCTATAACTTCGTTGGACTCCATCACAGGCGCTGTTAGGACACACATTATGTAGACGATCCAAGAACATTTGGGTATTCGTGAGATGCACTGGGATATGTTTAAGCAACTGGATGAGTATTAGGTTTACGAACCATGCTATTGTATCCATGTGTCCCTATATACAGGACTGATGGTAGGTCTAACTTTGAACGTTGAGAGATCGGTGGACGCAAGGTCATGAATGAACACTAGCTTAAGAATTTTAAGGCTTTGAAGAAGGTGAAACTGCCGAAGTGGACATTCCTCGTCCATTTAAAACTCCAACCGGCTAGTCTCCACCAAATATCTGGAAGGCTTACAAAAAAAAGAACAACACGGCCCTGAAGAAGGCGAAACCGTTGAAACGTAAGAAATGAAACGTAACGTATCATGAATGAATGAATGCTGTAATATGCTTTTGTTTGCTGATCAGAGAAAAAGTGAATTATTGATCAATGTCGAGGCTAAAGGAAGTCAGTCCTGGGATTTGCAAAAGGAAGATCTTCTACATTTGTTGCAGCAGATAGGAGACATCACTCTTCTCTTTTACTGCAGCAAAAACCAGGCTTCTACTCTACATTGATCTTCAACGTTTTCAACGGCATAAGATGTGAAGTTCGAAAACGGAATCGTATCTTTCGAGATACATGAGTAGACACAATGTATTACACTCACATGTTTCTTTGTGCTTCTTGTACCCCGTTGTGCCACGGATCATCTACTCTAAGTAGGTTAAAATTCACACCTGTTCCAGTGACTTGACTATATCGTCCTCTTTGATACAAAGACTATTTTCCAGTATGTTATCAGTTTCAGCAATCGTTATCAAAGAAGGATTCCAACGAAGGGCAAGTTTACTGAATATTGTCCTTAAAAACATAGTTTTGTTGGTTTATTTAGAAGAAAAAAATTGCTAAACATCTATGAACAGCTACTTACGCTCACCTGTAATTCCATTCTACCAGGTGACTGCTAATTATAGCCACACGCTTTTTCATAGCTAAGAATGTGGAGCAGTAGTGCAGTTGCAGGAAGAGGTCTGATAAGGAACCTGACGATGTCGCCAGACCAATACCGCGGTCCACACCGGGCACTTTCGACAGAAGCTTCAGCATCGGTGGCCAGCTATGGGAAAGTAGGTGTAAGACAAGATACGAGGTATTACGACAAACATAGGAAGCAAACAGTATCCGAATGGGACACAAAAGCTTTTATCCACATTCAGGAACATGAGTAGAAATAACGTTTTGGTCCTCGAAGAACCCATTACAGAACAGGATTCTACTATAGAGAAATATTTAAACGAAAAGGGTTTGAAAGGTAGCAAAAAAAAAGAAGAAAGATCGTAGCACTGATAGGAAACTTATCCACAAGGGCTTTAATGGTTTTATGAGATAAACGAGCCCATTATGCACTTAGGAAGCCGAGCTCAATCTTCGTACGTTCCCTTGTCACCTGTATTACCTGTAGTTCCGTTGATTGTCCAGTGATCCGAGAGGGCAACAGTATTTCCCTGTTGCGTGCAAGAGTAGCTCAGTGAGTTCTGCTCGCTCTAGGGACTCGTTGAGCATCGTACCTTTCCTCTAGCCTTTCCGTGAAGAACTCCGACCATCGGGTCGGTGGCGTTCCTGCAGCACGTTTGACATTCCCAGGAATCCAGTTATTAACGGCTGTTGTCCATTGGTTGTCGTTCATATGCATTATGTATCCGGCCCACCTTATCTTCGACTGTTTCGCGTACAGAACGACATCTTTGACTTTTGATCGTAGACGCGGGTAGGAGATTCGGATTCGCACGCTGGTAGGTCAAAAAACAAGACAAGCTGGAGAGTCTGGTTTGGAATTAGAACAACACAATAGTGTCTTGACTAGGAACCTGCTAAATTCATGTGACTTAATCTTGTCGAACTAATTCTCAAACAATCGCCCTTCCAAGCCTAACCCAAAGAAGAGAAATAAAACAGCACAGGGCAAAATCAAAGCGTCTGAAGCAATCATTGTAGCAAAAATCAACAAAACATCGGGGTTTCGTGAAGCAACAGCACACGATTCACTTGGAGCCAACAAAGTCAGCGCTCACATTTACTCGTCAAATGCCATGCATTGCCTGTACTAGGGAGGTTGTGATTATTAGGAACGTCTGAATACTGCAGAACAGCGTTCTGCTCGTCTCTTATCACTCTTTTCATCACTTTTCTGTTACATCAGTGATTCTATCCTTTCTTGGCGTGGCTTTTTGTATGGACTTCTGGAAGTACTACTGAGATTCTTGTCGTATGTTCTATACAGATTGTTACAGGCTTGGTTGCACCAATGACACAGCACAGTTTTGTTCTGAACGCCAAACGAGGTGAAATTCCATATGCCTCAGTACTGGCAATGGCAGCAGGGGGCTTCAACCCAGAATTGTCCGTCTCCTTCAGTAATGGCACACAACCTGGAATAAACATGTGAGTGGTAGATCAATCACAATGCTATATTTTTTAAATCCACTCTGCTTTACAGTGGCTGTTCCGGCGCTGATCTTTAGCATTGTTTGCTTCTCTTAATCTTAATGTAACATTGTTTTTCTGCAATTAGTGATGCCCGATGTCACAGCATACGTTGTCAACCAGTTTAGCCTTGGTGCCTTTCAAAAAAGTCCAGTACTATCTTTATTGTTTATCAGATTTACCAGGGTAAATTTCGCATTTACTATTGTAATTCTGAGAAAACGAAGCACTGCGAAATATGTGGAAGTCGATATTCAGCGATGATTGTCCATGCTTACAGACTGCCCCAAAGGATTGAGGTTTCGGTGGGTGCGCACTTGCTTCCGGCCTTACTTACTTTACTCTTTTCTGTTCATGATCCAACCTGTTGTATTGTGCGAATCCAAACACTTTTTATCCAGCCACAACGATGGTGAAATATTCGAAAAACTTGTACCCCAGGCTAGATCGAACCACGATTACCTTTTCCGAGGGATCGCGTATTACAGCCTGCGCCACGGAGGCAGTTGCTTTGCGTTTCTCTTAGCTAGTTTTCATTCAGTTCTTTGTCTGACACATGTCATCTACTAGGTTCTTCGCATTTGCGTGTTGGTTCGGTTGTTAATTAAAACTTTTCCTTGAGGGATGTGATTAACATTTGGGTTCCTAGGCTGGTTTTTCGCAAGATTCTGATAATTTTTCGATGACTAGAACAACTTAAAATTTGAAAACGTGATAGGTTTATGGAAGGACTTTGCTCTATTTATCTAGAGTTAGTGTAAATGTTTAAAGCTATTGTTTGGTTTCTGAAGTTGTTCAGAAACGAAATTTCCAAAAGTTTGATATCACTGCATACATGGGAGCGTGATCTAAGTTTTTAAAATTCTAAAGAAAGTTTGGGCTGCCGTAGACAACAACATCGCATTTGCGTGTATCATCTTGCTCTAATGTATGAAATACTCCTTGTGTAATTACATCCACTTCCGAAAGGTTTTCATTGAAAAAGTGACGAAAGTGCATTTTCTGAACCCATAAAATCTACGTTTCATTTAGATTGAATACAAGATCTTTATGTTAATGGCGACGATTTGTGTATTCCAAGGGTTTTTGTTTAAATTATTAAAGATTATTTCGAGCTGAGATATGCTACTTGGATTTGGAGGCGGTCGTTATTTCCACACGGAGTGGTAGTCGTTTTACGTAGAACCCTAACTGTTAAGTGCTGGGCCATTAGTTTTTTTCTGCTGTGCTGGTATAGCTCTGTTAGAATGTCTTTTAATAGAGAGAATATGAAAAGAGCAGACGTAGAAATTTTGGTGTTCGTTCAGATTGGTATACGACAGAAATGATTTTCTTTCTATTTGCCTTTGTTTCTCAGACTCAGATGTGTAAAGTTAATAATCTCTTCATAATGTTACCAATTTGGACGACGTGTCCGCACGAGTTCTCCCAACGGTTTGCTGCTTCATCGTTGCTGGGAGATGTTCATTGGTGTCGGGATGCGATGCACAGCAGGGGGAGCAGGAGTCTGACGTTTCCATTAGGAAACAGCTCAAAATAGGCCAAGCCAGGATCCACTACGGTCCTGGTATCAAACTAGTCGCGTGGTGGCAAATCTCCCTTTGTTCCACAAGCGCGGCGACTGCCTGTGGTTGTGGCTACATGGGCGGATTTTGGCTGGGCTGATCTCGGGACCCCAGAGAAACGCAGTGCCTAAATTAGCAAATCTCCAATACAGTGGAAATTACACCGAGCCCGAACAACCAGTGAAGACGGTCTATCCAAGTATCCAAGTGCGTCATTTTGAATGGATAGGAAAAGAAACGAAATTATGCTTTCTTTATTGGAAGAAACCTCTTATAAGCTGAAGAACACTGTTTGTAAATTCATATTGGGTGGTTTAATAAGTGTACAGAAGTTTAACAGACACCTGTTGATGTATCCAACCTAAGTGAGTTGATTAAGAACACCCACTGGTCAAGATCTTTTCATTTATTCATTGCTGTAAGACCATATTACCCTCACTACATGATGAAAGACGTGCAAAATTTTCCGCAGCTCTGAACGGTCATCGTTAAGCCGTTTGTTTCTTTTCCACAGTACTGCGATCTAGTTCTTTGCCTAGAATTCAATATTGTCGTTTAGAGATGGTTATGTTATAAGCAACGATATCACAATTGCAAGACTTGTTTCTCAAAGCGTTGGTCTCGCAGATTTCACTGGAACAACGTGCCTAGAACGTGCGAAGGTTTGATTCATGCCTTTTTCTTCAGTGTCAATACTATTCATACTATAGTGATGTTGAGATCTTTGCATAATTCCGGACCGCTGATGTCTGCGGTGGGGAACGAACACGCTATTACCCTTTCCGTGGGCTAACGTGTTCACCACCGCACCATGCGGGTCCTTCGTTCCGTTTTTGTCTCAGTCGTGTGATAGGTAGTAAATAGAAAAGTGACTACTCATACTCTTTATTGCAGATTGATGAGGTGCTTACATTATGTGAACGGGTCGTGGACGGATTTTTGCGTGACGAGGAAGTGCTGTTTAGAGTTAAAATGAGCGAATCCGGCACTATCTTTGAAAAGCGAATAACCGCTGCAGATGTTGCTCTCTGGAGTCTCATAGCTAAAAGTCCATCTGTAGGATTGCTTTTTTCCTTAAAATCACTTTCTACGAATGTTGTCACAGATTTGCTATCATTTTTCGTGTTTTCTCCAGTTGCAAGAGAAATATCCTGGCCTCTTCGATGCTGTGCTGAAAGATAGTCGGTTTACTCCTGCTCACATGATGGTTGGGAAGTTTTTCGACGAGATTGGAAAGGTGATATTCCAATCGTACTTTTGTTACTTTACAAGGGACACTTTTAAACGGTTTCTTTTTGAAGCCTCAATTAAAAGGGAAACAGAAAGATGAGGGAAAATTTGTTGAGCTCCCTGGCGCCGAGAAGGGGAAAGTGGTCGTGCGATTTCCACCGGAAGCTAGCGGGTGAGGCACATTTGTTCTTTTTCAGTACATCACTGATTTAATTCTTTAGATATCTACATATTGGTCATGCCAAAGCAGCTTTGTTGAATCAATATTATCAGCAAACGTTTGAAGGGGAATTGATCATGAGATTTGATGATACTAACCCTGCCAAAGAGAATGTGCATTTCGAGAAGGTGTGTCGTACTGTCGAAAGAATATTTGAACTGATAATCGGATTCTAGGTTATCAAAGAAGATCTGACCTTGTTAAATGTCATTCCTCAACGCTGGACGCACTCCTCGGACTATTTCGAAGTAATGATGGATATGTGTGAACGACTGCTGGTGGAAGGAAAAGCATATGTCGATGATACCGATATGGAAACTATGCGTAAAGAACGCGAGGAGCGCATCGCGAGCAAGAATCGATGCTCTTGTTAGTGTCTTATAGAAGGAAGTAGTTGTTTTGAAAATTTCGCTGCCTTTGCTAATAACATGCAGTTAATATTTTTATTTTGTTTCAGCTCCAGAAACGAATGTTGATTTATGGGAAGAGATGAAGAGGGGCTCAGAAAGGGGTATGCAGTGTTGTGTCCGTATCAAGATCGATTTTAAATCCCCTAACGGCGCATTAAGGGATCCAACGATTTATAGGTTAGTAATTAGTTTGATCGTTGCTCGTATTTTAAGGATTTGCTTGATATATCAGAGAACTTGAAAATTGGTGGTTTTGATTTCAGATGCAAACCCGAGGATCATGTCCGGACGGGAGTAAAATATAAGTATGTTATTTTGTTTTTGTTTGATAATTTTTCAGTACGATTCAAAAATCGCCGTGGATAACATTCTCGATCTTTTTTTGTTCAGTTTACATAGATACCTTAAAATGCTCCACCGTTTCCAATTTGGGAGGGGAGCGGTAGCGCTGCCGTCAATCAGGAAGCAAAGACGCTAGCTCGACCCTCTTCACAACGTTTTCATCTAGTCCACATGGGAACACCTTAATTCGGCTAAGCTCAAGTTGGCAAAGAGGACCGACTCGACCAGCGTACTGCGACATTTGTAAGGAAGTTGAAGTCCTGGAGCAACACTCAAGACGACACACGGAATGTTCGAAGACCATTGTGAACGATGAATGGGAGGGAAACGAATTGAATGCAGGATGTACTGGAATCTGCGCAAAAGATGTAAAGACGGGTGATCTAAAATGTAAAAAAATGCTTGCCTATTTTGCTAAAATGGCTTATTAAATTACCAGTTTAGAATATAATGATACTAATTGAGAGCTTTGAAAACGTTTAGGCACTAGTTATCCACCATGGTAAATTGCTTTAATCTCCTTCGATTGGAAAAACATATTTGGTTGGTAAGTAGACCTTCGTTATCTAGCAGATATCAGGCAAAACTCTTGCATTTGTATAAGTGAAGTGGACGATTATTTTGATTTGCCAAAATTTTTTAATGGTGAAGTGTCGTAAAAGAATTTTGTTACGGTATGATTGAAGATTACGATTAAGAAGATGTTACGTGCATATACATAGTGGTATAGCGAATTCAGTGTCCAACACTGACTTAAAGCCGCTATGCGTTTACTGTGACACTCAAGGTGATCTCCATTGTGGTTTTGCAGCCTTTTTTGCTTCGCACGTTGCGACCGTATTTAATGCGCAAAATTATAAGGTTTCTCCGTGAAGCTCCCAAAAATGGAATTATGGCGCCGCTGATCTTATTCTCGGGAAAAAAGATAGCGGAACTCAGTGGTAAAAGAGACGACAACAACCAAATGTACGCATCAGAGTTCTTTTTTAGTTCGCTGGTAATTTTCACAAAAATCGGTGGTACAAAATGTAGATTTGTAGTTCGAAAGAATTTGCTCTGGGGTTATTACTTATCTTTAAAAATGCTTTAGGGTTTATCCAACATACGATTTTGCTTGTCCCATCGTCGACAGTTTGGAAGGTGTGACACACGCACTTCGTACTACTGAGTACCATGATAGGTATAATATTGGCGAATATAGCTTATTATTTTTATCTGCTTCCAATATCAAACTTTAGGGATGACCAATACTATTTCATTTGTGACTCTCTTGGTCTGCGTAAACCTCATATTTGGTCGTATTCTCGTCTCAATATGACAAATACAGTAATGAGTAAACGGAAGCTAACATGGTTTGTCGACCAAGGACTGGTGGAAGGGTGGTAAGAATTGCTTCGCTCTTTCACTTTTTACTAATATAACTTTTTTTTCAAGCAAGCTAATTGAGGGATGATCCACGACTTCCCACGGTTCGCGGTGTAATGCGTCATGGAATGACTGTCGAAGGTCTGCGCCAGTTCATTATCGCCCAGGGTGGCTCGAGATCAGTTGTTATGATGGAGTGGGACAAGATATGGTCGTTCAACAAGAAAGTAATTGACCCTATCGCACCAAGGTTCATCACTATATTAAAGTCGTACTCATTCTCCACGAACGACTAGCGGACTTTTTGCCCTTTTATAGGTACACCGCTCTTGAATCCACATCGCTAGTGCCTGTTTACATTTCCACTCCTGTTATTGTGGAGGAGGTGCACGTTCCTCTCCATCCAAAGGTGAGTTTTTAATAAATAAGGGTTGGAACTCTCACTTTGATGTAAAATTTGCTCTAACAAGCAAAAGATGACCACAGTGTTTGCTCACAGTTTAAATGGCACAGAATTCTGATGTTGGGAAGAAGACAATTTGGCGCAGCTCGAATTTGTTGGTTGAACAAATTGACGCACTCGAGATGAAATCCGGCGATACGGTTACATTCGTCAACTGGGGAAACATAAACATCGTCTCAATTGAAAGGACAGAGGTTGCTGTAAAGCAAATACATGCAGTACTTGATCTTGCCAATCAGGTGTGTATCCGCTGTTTTTGTTACTGCTTTGCTCATTTTTGGTGTTTGAGGGTGTAAAACCTCATTAACATTGTACATATATTTTCTTTTACTTTCTTCACATGACCCATACCTATCGTCCCGTTCACTCGTGTAGTGCAGAGTTCAGGGCCGCCCGCACTACGCATAGGATTGATACCTCTCACCAAGCCCTCCATCGCTCCGGCGGTTGGCAAATCGATACCAAACTTGTCTGGTAGCAGTTCACGTTCTGCAATCCAATTGGGACCGCTGTTGGACTGTCCCGGCTATTCCGATATTCCCGGAAGATTTTGGACCAGGGTTCAGCAACATTCACAAAGAAGAAGGCAAAAATACTCAAGCAGCGGCCGAATTCAAGCACAAAATTTGGAAGACCTTCATAATTGGTGGGATCAAGGATGTGGTAGCATCCGCATAGTAGATCTAAGACGGGGCGTCTAAAATAAGTAAGAGTGGAAACCTCTTTTTAGTCCATACAATGTGCTTCGTTGTCGTTTTTGTCTTAGCTTGGTCTTTTGGCAAATACTAGGTTTGTCAAAGCTGCTGTTGTAGCATATTTTACCAAATTCTTAACTATGAACTTCGTGTTTATGTCATTATCGGTGACGAAGCGCATGTTGACAAGTATACAAATTCCGCCAGCTCTTCGCTTGATCGTATGTTCTGAGGAACACTTTTTCGAAATTATCATGGACTGTGAGCTGTGTTTTCTAAGTCAGTTCGTTAATCTCGCACATAATCTTCTAAGCATGCATCAGTAAGTCTCCAATGGTGACTTGCGATGTTAAGGTATGTGCGTTACAGGTAAATGATAGTTATCTCGGATTTCATTATGATACGGTACTCAAATCCTTGCTGCTTTTTGTACTCAACTTTTGCTTTACTCGAATGCATGGCGCATCCTTCAGAGATTGATCAATGCCGAAGGATTCGTTCGTTATCCTTCTGTTATAGTGCATTTGGAAACTTTTCAGGATTTCAAGAAAACCATGAAGGTAACATGGATTGCTCAGACAGAATCATCTGTAGCAGCTTGCATTTCGGTTATAGCCGTTGATTACGACCACATCATAGACAAAGTGGTGATCGGGAAGGATGAGGATTGGAAACGCTTTATTAACTATGACTCAGTGGTTAGTGCTTATCAACATGGCTGCTTCAACTATGGTTGATGTCACTCAATTTATGACCTGACCGGCTCCATTTTTAAGCATTTTACCAAAATGTTGGGTGAACCTGCCTTGCGAAATGTGAAGAAAGGTGACATAATTCAAATTCAACGAAAAGGTTTCTACATTTGCGACCATGCCTACCAAGAAAAGAGCGAATACAGGTATCACTAAACTTCCATGAGTGCTTTTGATGTCACCTGAAGTATTTCTGTTTCAGCGGTGTTGAGTCGCCTCTTTTGCTTATTTACATTCCTGATGGACACGTCAAGGATGTCAGTAGTAGGGTCAAACAGGTAAGACTTTGCTAGTTCCATACTTAGATGTAGCTTGATGCATTCAAGTGTCTTTAGAAATAGTTTCCGAGGTGGTTTACATGCTGTGTTTGCATAGGAGGAAAGTGAGAGAAGTGCACTGTATCTTTTTTATAGTAGTTTATTTTGCTAAGTAGAGCACTTTTACCGCAATACGATCGATTTACTATTATGTGGTATACTTCGTCATGGTACCCTCCATTGAGAGACTCCCAACGTTGTGAGTGGGGCTTCTGGAATTGTGAGTTACCATGAGCGGTCTTGCTCGTAATGATAAACTCACTCAGCAGCTCACCCTCCCAGTTTCATTCTAGTCCGTGAGTCCCAATGTGGCCTTTTTCAGTTCATCTGAGTCAAGTATAAGTGTTTAAATCTCCAATGATGACGTTAAAGAATGTATGGTTTTCTCTGTAGAACGTCTCCAAGTCCATATAGAACGCTTCGACATCATCTTCGTCATAGCTTGCTGGTGATGCATAGGCGACAATAATCCACATCTCTTCAACCGTAAACGTCTGATTCGGGTTGTAAGTTGTTCGAATAAATAGATGTTCATACTGGACTGGTTTGAGTCCAGCTCACTGTCTACAGTCCACATCGAGATGCTCTAGAATGGAAGGCCATCATCATGAAGAAGGCGAAGTCATCAAGCAGCATCCGAGAGCACATGCAATAGTTCGAGAACCTTCGTAAATGATCCTTGCGAGAAAACGAATCGAATGTGAGAAGTGCTGTGACCTGCACGGTAAATGTGAAAGAGGGCTCGTATACAAGTAAAAATGAAATAACTTTTGTGTGCCAAATAGCAGTGAAATGTTTTTTCTTCCTTAGTTTTCTCACAACATTATTCCTTTCTAAAAACTCTGCGTTCATTGTTTTTTTTTGGCGAATGGCAAGTTTATACTGAATTTATAAGTGATTTTCTTCGTATTTTTGTTGAGCAAACGCGAGGTGTTACTATTCTTTGTTCACGATTAAGCTGACGTTTCGGCGAATTTCGCCTTCTTCAGAGCCTGGAAAGGTCAAGTTGACAGCAACTCACTCGGCCAGACGCCTCCATAACCAAACAAAGAAACTCTAAACCAAGATTTCAATCACTTTGAACACAGCTCTGCACACTCACCGCTTTCTATGAGGTTTCCACTAAGTTTGTCACGTAGAGACCAACCGCACAGAAATCACGTGGAAGTATAATGTGCCCCTCACATCAGAAAAGCAGTTTTATATACTGCCCTATATCACGCGTGATAATGAGGCATTCTTCCCTGCGGTTCATTTTCGGATTTCTGGAATTAATCCAGAGTGCCTCGAGAGTTTTTCGCGCCTGTGTTCTTGATTCGCGTGCGAGGATCGTGACACATACTTCGAAGTCGTCCCCGTTATGTCTCTGGGTCCTATGCGTGCCTAGCGGGGTATTTGGTCTATTTTTGCCGGCTAGGTGTTCTTTCATGCGGACACAGAGGGGTCTACCCGTTTCGCCAATGTATTCGTCACCACACGTCTTACAGGAGATCAGATAAACTATACCCGAGCTCATGCAATCACCGTCTCTACCACTGGGGCAAATTATGCAATTTTGAGTTGCACATAGACGGTCATATAGGCGGTTACGAACTAGCTGGCGCTTAAGATTACTCGGTGGTATTTCAACTACGCTCACCGAATTCTCTAAGCCCGCCCTTCTTAAGCAGCGTTTTATAGCTATACTTATATCATTTGAGATGAAGGGTAGGATAAACGGGACCCTTCTATCGCTAGAGTTGTCGTTTGGAGGCCTACGATTTCCTCTACACCTATTCTGAGCTACAGTTTCGTAGCCATTAGAAACGGCTATTTGCCGTGCCAAGGTCCGGGACTCCTCTNGTATTTGGTCTATTTTTGCCGGCTAGGTGTTCTTTCATGCGGACACAGAGGGGTCTACCCGTTTCGCCAATGTATTCGTCACCACACGTCTTACAGGAGATCAGATAAACTATACCCGAGCTCATGCAATCACCGTCTCTACCACTGGGGCAAATTATGCAATTTTGAGTTGCACATAGACGGTCATATAGGCGGTTACGAACTAGCTGGCGCTTAAGATTACTCGGTGGTATTTCAACTACGCTCACCGAATTCTCTAAGCCCGCCCTTCTTAAGCAGCGTTTTATAGCTATACTTATATCATTTGAGATGAAGGGTAGGATAAACGGGACCCTTCTATCGCTAGAGTTGTCGTTTGGAGGCCTACGATTTCCTCTACACCTATTCTGAGCTACAGTTTCGTAGCCATTAGAAACGGCTATTTGCCGTGCCAAGGTCCGGGACTCCTCTCTCTGCTCACTTCCCGTGCACACGTTGGTTGCTGTTCGAAACATGTTTCTTATAAGCGCCCTTTTCGTGTGAGAGGGGTGAGAGGAGAGGTAATGAACCAAGATATTTTTACTACTTGGCTTTTTTTTTACTACTTACTACTTTACTACTGAATTTATAAGAATTCCTAGCTTTCAAAACAATAGAAGAACGGTTAGTGGAGCAGATTTTCAGACGTACAGCCCATTTTTTTTGCACTGCTAAATCGTGCAGTGGTGCAGTTTTCTATTCCTGTCATTCTTTTTAAAACAGGGATTGTTTGATGTTTTTTTTCTACTGTGTCTAATAGTCCCACCAGGTCATAATCCAAAAAACTTTTATGTCTCTCCTATAAACACTTTTTTGTAGGGTACTCAACATTGTCTTCTGAGTTCACTTAAGCTCCTTTGGCTAAATTATTTACAATTTTTAAGAGCACTTTTTTAAACTGTTCAGTTTTGACACTCTGCACGTTATTAATCAGTATTCCCCGATATTTCATGGATATGGAAATAATCTTGCGAAAGAAAAAAAAAGTAACTTAAGGAAAAGAATGCTCAAATCTGTGGAGCCAAGCAGCCACTTGTCGACTCATCGTTATCTTCGTGCAAGTCTTCCGAAATCTATGCCCTTTATGAAGAAATCCAGGCTCAAGGAGAACTTGTTAGGACTGAAAAGGCAAAGAGTGCTAAATCAGTGCGTCTTTTTGTGTTTCCTTTATTAACTGTCTTCTATTTCAAACTGTTTCTGTTAAAATTCAATTGAACTTTTTTGCCCGTATTAGGAGGCGTCGATCGCTGCGATTGCTAAGCTGCTTGAGCTGAAGAAAGTTTATAAAGAGAGGACTGGTCAGGAGTATAAACCAGGTCAAGCACCTGTTCCTACCTCACCGTTACCTTCATCAAATAATTTGTCCGAAGCCTTAAGACTTTATGAGGAAATTCAAGCCCAGGGAGAACTTGTTAGGACTGAAAAGGCAAAGAATGCGAAATCGGTACGTTACTTAAGGTCCCGTTTTTCTTTACCATCTTTCAAGTTTCTTTTTTCTAAAGTGTAATCAAAACTTTTTCGTTTTTTAAGGAGGTGTCGATGGCTGCAATTGCCAAACTGCTTGAGCTGAAAAAACTTTACAAAGAGAAGACTGGTCAGGAGTATAAAGCGGGCCAACCACCAAGTTCCTTCTAACTCATAATTACTTTTGCGAGATGCTTGTTTTGATGTTCCTGCGCTTTGGCAAAACATCTGTTTTATTGCGAACTTGTTCAGATTTAGAAATAAGAACATGCGGGTTCGTTTTTAGTTATGCCACCAGCATTCGATGAGCTTGGCAAGTTATAGAATTGTTTTAGAATGGTTTTTCTAAAGGAAAGCTGACTATGGCTATAGTTTAAAGGTCTTTTTTTTAAGCAAAGGCTTTCATTTGCTTGTTTTGTTATTTAAGTTATGGCCTTGGTCCAATAATTCGTTCTTACTAAATTTGCTTGCTTCCTTGGCGCTTTCGTCATGTTTAAAGTGTTATTTCCAAGGTATAGGTTGCAAGGTCATCGTTTCTAATTGGTTTATCTTTAAAAATAGTCGAATAAATTTACTGCGGTGCTTTTCTAAACTTAAATACGTGTTGTACTCAAGCAATTATTTGGATCCCACTTTTTGATTCCATTCTCGTATGTCCCTTATAGTCGGATAAGAAGCGGTTGCATTGTTTATTATGACTTTAAAAACGTTTTTCGCTGTATTATTCTCTATGAATTCACTAGCCATCCATTGGCTTTTACGATATTGTTCGTTGTAGTGCTTTTCTTCTGTGTGCGTTTTCTCATAGCTACCTTAGAAGCGGTGCTGTAGTGTGTATATAGTTGCAAGAGTGTAAAGGTCAGTATATGTATATGTATGCATCTACATAATATATGCTTACATATGTATATATACATTCGCATACATACATATATGTACATATATCTATGTGGATATGTACAGACGGGGGTGCGTGTTGCGTAGTGGTCGGGGGCGCCCTGTAACACACGTGGGGTTAATTCCCATGCTCAGAGCTCACCAAGCCTTCCATCTCTCCGGGGTCGGCAAATTGCTACCAGACTTGTCTGGGAGGATAGCAGCGCTGACTCGATACATCCGTATTCCACCTTGAGTCATTGTGAAGACCAGATATGCATTCAATCACCTCCAACGATACTTAATGAAGTCGAATGCATGGCGCATCCCTCAGGGGTAGATCAACTCTGAGAGTTTTATCTTCTACTCTCTACATATATATGTATATATATATGTGTATCAAATACGTGCATGTATATGTACTTGTTCATATGAACTCAGTTTCAGTACATATTAACTAAGACATGTTTCAGGGATGCACAATTTTTGTTAGCAGTGCTCATTTCGAAGTCCACATCAATATGCGGCTCATCATTTTCACTTTATTACACGGTGGTAAGCATAATAACTTGCTATATTTCATTTTCTTAGCTTTTTCAGAAAGTCTTCATGCAGGATTTCTTTTATGTTCCGATCATTATTGATTGATAGCGTTGTAGTGATGAAATCATGTAGTGGAGAAGGTCTGTCTGATGATATATACATTACGATACCGGTGGCAGAAGGTATAGTGGGTTATCGACTTTTCAATGGAACGCATCAGTTTGGATTCCACAGTATGTTAACATTTCATTTGAGTTTCCGTGTTTTAGTAACCAACTGGATTTTGTTTCTTTTCGCTTCACGTTCTGATACTTTCGCTCGACAATAACCAGATGTACGCCCTATACGTTTTCCAGGTGCAAAGACTGATTCTCGAGGTGTAGTGGTAATGATGGGGCAAAATGAGCAAGCAGGGCTGCGTGAGTGTTGGCGTAGTCGTTTTCGCGACTACCTTGGGAAGTACCATATAGTTATGTCTGCAGATATGCTTGATCGGTTAGTTTTTTTAAGAAACGCTTACGTATTTGATCGTAATTATAGGATTTTCTTCAAAAAATTTGAAACGATATTTTCAGAAGGGTCGTATGAGTCTTTGCTCGGCTAATCGAGGTCTGCAATACTACTGGTTTCACCAAAAAATTTTTCTCGTACTCCCAAGGATTCCGCACCTCTTGTTCTCAAATCGTTCCCTCCTCGGGAATTCGTTTATCTTTGTTCGTTTTCTTTTTCCAAACGTGCCGTCTTTCAAATCTACCGTGCGGATTTCAGCACTTCTCGCATTCGATTCGTTTCCTCGTATCCATCATCGGCGAGGTTCTTCCATCCTTTATGTATGGCTTCGCTTGCTGCTTGAGGATTCTCCCTGTTGAATGTTGTTTAATACTGATCTAGTCGATTCTATTTGGTGTTTTGAGATATCAGAGCTAGAGCCTTCCCACTTAGATTGCATGGAGTGAAATTTCTTCAGGCAAGTCGGTTACAAATTTCCTGACCCCGGAAAGATAGGAGGTTTGGTGAGCTCGGTGCGGAGTCGAACTAGCACCATGTTCGTGATGATCGGCATCACCATTGCTGTGCGATCACACCCCTATTTATGTTGGTTAGAAGTGGATTTCTCAACTTGCGACCAGTTGTTCTCCAGAACGCGGCGATTTCTAGGATTAGTTTACTCTTGGCTGGATGGAAATGTTGTGCGTCCCAATTCAATCACGAAACTTAATTAAACTCATCGCTTAAAGTAGCAGCTAGCCAACCAGGTACATCACCACCTCATGATGATGCAGTGAACCATTGTAGAGGGTTATAGTGACAGAACAGCAGTGTGGTGTTATTTGCGTTGTTTCAACACCTAATTTCGACATTTAGGGATACCTCACTACGAAAAAATGCTAAGTCACTAACGAAACCTGCATAAGTGTAACTGTAGGATGCTGATAGCCTCTACGCCATAGGGGTGAATGACTGTAAGAATGATAGGTGTTCAGCAATGTCTTTCCACATAATTCCATGTTTCCTCTTATGGTCAGCTCCCAGTGAACTTTATTAATGAAGTAGTCTACCAATTCTGAAGATTTCTGCTAACAAGGGTCAACGTTCATATCTCACCAAAGCAATGTTATTTTCTAGAGTCCATAACACGTAAAGTTTCTCTAAGTGATAATAACTTGAACTGTAAAACGATAAAACAAGCAGTGTTTAATTCACCAACTACAATGATATTCCACAACATACCGTTACTGTTTGCGTTTGCCCCATCTATACGTAGAACTTTGAAATTTTCAAGGCTTTCTTAAGTTTTGTAAAAGTTCGGCTTCCACAAAACAAGGAAGTGGTGCTCTAGAAGAGTTATACAAACTCATAGAGTGATAGAGCAAGGTGTGTACTGTAGAAATCTGCGAGGTTCTTAACTCCTTAAAAGTTAATGGAATGGTCTGGAAAAGCAGTATCGTCCATTATATGTAAGGCTCACAAAAATCGATTCCGATCAATAATCAGTTATTGTATGATTTCCAGTCACTACTTTGGATAGTGGATGACGTACAGATTGGGTGGATAAAAAAATAACGACAGTAGCCCATATATACTGTGAAAATGAAATGTTCGAAAAGTTTGAGAGAAAGCATAGAAATCGAAAACACCGAAGTAATTAGTAAAATTCTTTGAAAAACCGATTTATGGAGTGAATAGTACAGCATAAAGGGCTTAGAAATTATCTAAAGGAAGGGTCACCGCACCAGCATTGGTTATGTAGTAAAGACGGTGAGAAATATCAGACAGATGCGGCATACAATACCACACGGACTTAGGCAATGGACTCTTAATGTTAGCAATTCTTCCATGGGTAGGTGACGGACTATATTCGCTGGTCTTCATATAGCCAGGCGCGTATAGCGAAGTGGTTAGAGGCGCTCTACAATACACATGAGATCGATACCACACGCCAGGCTCACAAAGGCCTCCATACCTCTGAGGTCGGCAAATGGTACCAGACTTGTCCTGGACGATAGCAGGACTGGCTAGATACACTGGTGTGCCACCGTGAGTCATTGTATAAGCTACCAGATATGCGTTCAGTCACCTCCAGCGATGCTTGGTGAACTCTATTGCGTGGCTCATCCCTCAGGAACCGATCGATCCCGAGAACATTATCCGTTTTAATCCATATGGGCACAGTGAAGTGTGACCAGTGAGGTTTCTTGGTCGACATTTTAAAATGGGACAGATTCCTGTATGTTGAAGTTATATTTTGTTGCTGAGGCTACTCTGGAAGTAGCTGAAGTTACTCGAGTCTGAGAACGTTTAAATATTATCGTAGACCGAAACTTTAGGCGAAGTACATTTAATATCAGAAGAGGCGGTACCGTTTACATATTTGTTGTGCGTATTTTAGACAGGGTTTTATTTTGTGGGTGAGAGGTTTGATGAGATGCTCGTTTTACGCCATTCTTCTGCGATAAGAAGTGATTTTTTTTTAGTTCTACTGTCCAAGAAATTGTGCAGTCAAAATGTGTTGCCGGTCTAATAATTGTTACCCCGGAATCTAAGATCGACCCGACAAAACCTCTCTCTCACGATGGAATATGCCCAAATCCAAATACCAGTGAGTCGAGCTTTTCTTTGCGTTTTAGATAATTCAAGAATTATTTCGGTGAATGTTTTCTTACGGTTTTTCTCCGCTTGTAATAATGACGTTACATTATTTAAGGACTTGACAGGTTTATGTAATTTGTAATACTGGGTCGCGTTTTGGTGCATAATGTTCTGGTTTCAACTCCACTGGGAGAGTTAAAAATTAAAAATTTCGCCGTTCCATTAATAATGCACCTACTTCCAAGTCTCTCGTAGCGCTACGTGACCATGCTTTCAGTTAGTTCCGATTGAGGTAGAGTGTTAACTTTTTCTTCTCAATATTACCTTTTTATTTACTGCCTGCTACGATTTTTCGTGGTAGGAGATTATGTGAAATACAACCACAATTATGCTAGGATAACCACAACGTTGCTGAGATATTTGCAAAACTCTGGACCGCAGGTGTCTATGGTGGGGAACGAACGCGCTATTATCCTTTCCGGGGAGTAAAGATT